AGATAATATCAGAAACTCTTCACTAGCTAGAGAAAATTTGGATTTTTGTTGCTCAATTCATTACACAGGCAAGAAAAAAATTCCCATTTTAAAAATCTTTAGCTGTGATTCCAAGTTTCTAAATTTTGTCATTTCTCGGTGTGAATTTCTTGAATTCTTATTTAATCTACTTTTGTGTCCAATTTAGGTATTGTAATGTCAAAGGATGTCAAATTTTCCCGTAGAGATTCCGACAAGTACGAGGAAATCGAGAATGTTCCTGAAAATCTTCAAACTTCGTTTTTGTCGCAAACCAGCAACGATTCGTCTTCTTCCTCTTCTCTATCACGGGCTCCGTTAAACACGATCCATGGAACTCCGTCTAAGCCTAGAGCTAAGAACCCAGATCCAGCATTGCCTTTACGGACTCCTGATAAGTATCGATCAGCGACGTTCTCTAAAAACCGGTTTGGTTGGGGGGAGAAGTGTGATTCCATCGTTACAAACACGAATGTGACTACTCCTCAAACTGGTAGAGTTGTCGGGAGAGCTAATTCGGAGACCAATTCGACCCAGAATACGCCTACTAAGAGCGTATCTAAGCCACCGGGATCTTGTTACAGAGGGAAGTTTGATGGTGCTAGAGCTGGTGGATTTGTCTCATTGTACAAAGGGTTGTCTAGTTCTTCTGGACAAGTTTCAGCTGTTGTCAATACCGTTGAAGTCCCTCACTTTAACCTTAAGGAGGATCCATCTTTCTGGATGGATCATAACGTACAGGTAACAATTTGGTCCTATGGTTTACTTTCTTCTCTTTTGTGGTCCAGTATACATGTAGGTTCATTAGCAAGAATGTCTTTTTTTTTTTTTGGTTTTCGATTTCTTAAGCATTGGATTGCTGATGAGATTTCATTGGGATATGAAAACTTTGAGAAATTTTTGGTGAAGTGGCATTCATTGATGGTCATTGGATGTGTTGCAGATTCTTATACGTGTCCGACCGCTTAATAGCATGGAGAAGAGTACAAATGGGTACAGTAGGTGTTTAAAACAGGAAAGCTCACAATGTGTAGCATGGACTGGACCACCGGAAACACGGTTTTTATTTGATCATGTGGCTTGTGAGACAATTGACCAGGTAAAACTCAGATCGAAAAGCAGGAAATTTTGTTTCCTTTTCTTCATAGAAATCAAGTTTTTCTTATCGCATTCTAAATTTGTAGGAAACCCTCTTTCGGGTTGCTGGTCTGCCCATGGTGGAAAATTGCTTGTCTGGCTACAACAGCTGTATATTTGCGTATGGCCAGGTACATTCTTCTATCATTCTAGAGATGGATTATGAGGATTCATTTGAAAATTCTTACAAGGTTACAATGATTCATTCTTAACTTGTAAAAATTGGTTGGGATTGTACAGACAGGAAGTGGAAAAACATATACAATGCTTGGGGAAGTCAGTGATTTAGAAGTTAAACCAAGTCCTAACAGAGGAATGATGCCACGGATATTTGAATTTTTATTTGCAAGAATACAAGCTGTAAGCCTGTAAATTCTCTTATGGTATTGCTTTTTTCCATTTCTGTTACAGAAATGATAAACTTTGCTCGCATCTTCCTTCACTGTCTTGTTGTAGGAGGAAGAGAGTAGAAGAGACGAGAGGCTTAAATACAATTGCAAATGCTCTTTCCTTGAGATTTATAATGAACAGATCACAGACCTTCTTGAACCGTCGTCAACAAATTTGCAGGTACTTTTAAATTCTTTTACTGGTGAAAGTGCATATATGCTCAAGGTTTAGTTTTCTAATGTGTTCTCACCTTTTTAGCTTCGAGAGGACATTAAGAGTGGTGTCTATGTGGAAAATCTCACTGAGTGTGAAGTAGAGAGTGTTCAGGACATCTTAGGGCTTATCACACAGGTTAGTACTGCCGGCTCCCAGACATTTTTCTTTTATGTTTATTGTTTCTGAAATCTTATATGTTGTACTATAGGGTTCTTTGAATCGAAAAGTTGGAGCCACAAATATGAACAGAGAGAGCAGCCGATCACATAGTGTATTTACATGCGTGATCGAGAGCAGATGGGAAAAAGATTCAACAACTAATATGCGTTTTGCAAGACTGAATCTGGTTGATCTCGCTGGATCAGAGAGGTAACTATGGTGCTTTCTTGGCTTGGTATTGCCTTAGAAGCCTCGTTTTACATTCTACTTTCTGTAACAGGCAGAAAACTTCTGGCGCTGAGGGTGACCGCCTAAAAGAAGCTGCTAGTATCAATAAATCATTGTCCACACTAGGGTAAGTAACCAAGGACTAGTTAAACCCCTAGCATAACTCACTTTATCAATTAGCTGTTACGTTAATTTTGCTATTTGTTACTATTTATTGCAGACATGTAATTATGGTTCTTGTGGATGTTGCAAATGGTAAACCAAGGCATATTCCATATCGTGATTCCAGACTGACCTTTCTTCTTCAGGTTAAATCTGAATTAATTGCTTTTCATCGCTTAAGTTGCACTATATCCTTTCATGACATTCTAACGGTATCATTTCATCTACAGGACTCATTGGGTGGCAATTCCAAAACCATGATCATTGCTAATGCTAGTCCTTCCGTCAGGTAGTTTTTTCAACACTAACTTGATCTAGTGTTACATAAACTTGTTCGGTAAAGAACTTCAACTTACCGCTTCTATGTTTTATCACTGGTAGTTGTGCAGCAGAGACACTAAACACGCTTAAATTTGCTCAGAGAGCAAAACTTATCCAGAATAATGTAAGTTTGCACTGTTATCCATATTGTAATATTTGAAGGAGACAAATCAGGAATAACCTTTGGATAAAAATTATGTTTCAAATTCTTTAGGCTGTGATTAACGAAGATTTCAACGGAGATGTCCTAGAGTTACGCCGTCAAATCCGACTTTTAAAGGTATAACATTTTGTACTGCCACTAGGTGCTCTTTATGTGAAGCTATAAATAAGCTTAAGACAATTTTCTGTATGTGTGTGAAACAGGAAGAGCTTTCCCTCCTCAAGCGCCAGAACATCTCCAGGGCATTGTCATTTGGATCAGCAACAGCCAACTTTTCAGAATTCCAAGTCGATTCTCCATCAACTGAAATGCACGAGACAGGACATCAGCAGGCTGGTAACTCGCTTGTGTATGAATCTGGAGGCTGTGTAAGGATGTCTAGAAAGCAGGTATACTAACTTTGAGAATGTTTAATGAATGATTTACTGAGGATTCACATGCCTCTACCTTCTGACTCCGCTAAACATCTATATATGTATCAGTTGAAATCTTTGGAGATAACACTTGCTGGCTCATTGAGAAGAGAACATGTGGCTGATGCTTCAATCAAGAAGCTTGAAGCCGAGATTGAGCAACTAAACCGTTTGGTAATTATTTTTCACGTACACTGCTCCCATTCCCACTTAATTTTCAGAGCCTGAATCAATGTATGCCAATTTACCTTTAGGTTCGACAAAGAGAAGAAGATACTAGGAGCACAAAAATGATGCTCAGGTTTCGAGAAGACAAGATACAGAGGCTGGAATCACTTGTTGGCAACCATATATCTGCAGATTCTTTTTTGCTGGAAGAGAATAAGGGGTTATCAGAAGAGATTCAGCTGCTTCAAGCTAAAATTGATAAAAATCCTGAATTGACTCGCTTTGCCCTGGAAAACATAAGGCTTCTGGACCAACTTAGAAGGTGATAAATTTTCAGGAGACGTCTAATGCTCAAGTAAAAGAATTTTTTTTTTAAGTTCTGTTATTATTGTACTTGCAGATTTCAAGAGTTCTATGAGGAAGGTGAGAGAGAAATTCTACTGGGCGAAGTCTCGAATCTGCGAAACCAGGTGCCTCTAGTTAGCACAGTATCCTGGTATTGTTCTTTCCGTTTGCAATACCATACTCAAACCCTAGCAATTGATTTTGCAGCTCTTCCAGTTTCTTGAAGAAAACTCTGGCTGGCAAAAACATCCTGATGATGGAATAGAGCCACAGGTTCAATCTATTTTCCTCGTTACATACGTTTAAATGTCTATATTCAGAAGGATTGTGCTTCATTGATTGTGTGTCATTAGTCATATTGTATGTTCAGTTTTGTTGTAAAAAGATTTTGGATTTTCCATGGTGCAGGGTGCATTACCTATTAGCAAAGAAAATGATTCTCTA